TGCCGTGATCACGTGGCTTCCCAGGGCAAGGCCTGTCCATTGCCCTTCCACGTGCTGACCCCTGCGATTTCCCCAAAGGTGGGAAACTGGACTGCAGAATTTGTGGGGTAGGGGGTACTGCGTTTGTGCTTTCCCCAATATTAAATAATTAAAATTTCAAAGAATTAGCAGGCATGGCAGCGTATGCCTGTCATCCCAGCTGATCAGGAGGCTGGGGCGGCAGGATTGCATGAGCCCAGAAGGTGGAGGCTGTGGTGAGCTGTGATTGTGCCACTGCATTCCAGTCTGGGTGACAGAGGGAGACCCTGTCTCGCTCAGGAAAAGAAGTGCGTACCATAAAATTAACCACGCTGAAGTGCACAGCTCAGCAGCACTTGGTGCGTTTGTGAAACTGGGCCGCCCCCCCACCTCGGACTCCAGCACACCCTCATCCCCCACGGAGACCCGCCCCGGGAAGCCCTTAACCCCCAACCCCACAGCAGCAGTCCACGGCCGCCCAGCTAGCCTGTCCTGGACAGGTGACATCGGGAAAGGTTTGGCCCGTCTTCTGGGCTCTGCATCCTCTGCCTCCTGCCTGGCGCCCGCCTGTGCCCTCTGTCTTTACAGCCCCCTACCACAGGTCCAATCTGAACCTTAGTGACGAGGCTGCCAGGGCACGGGTCCTGCACGAGCACCTCAGCACAGGTAGGTACATCCAAGCGCCCTTGCTGTCCCGGGTGGACGTGGACACCTTCGGGTAGCTCTCGGCTCTGCCCACCGACCCTGGCTCTTCCATGTGGTTCGGGCACATGGAAGCCAGCCTGGGCGGCCCCTGTGACAAAGGCCAGCCCTGGGGCCCCAACAAGTGAGTGCCGTGGGTTCCTGGATCCCAGGCTCTCCACAGGATGAACTGGCAGGGACGCCCCCACGAGCTGCACCTGTGTCTCAGCGAGTGGCCTGGGGGCAGGTCCTGTGCTCCTGGAGGTCAGGATAGAGGCACATGGGGAGCAAGACAGCCCCACTGGGATGGCAGAGTCAGGCGTGTGGCCAGTGCGTGTGGGGCCACGGGACCCAGGCCCAGCCTTGCGACTTTCAACTTGCACATGCCTGCTCTGACTTGACTTTGTCTTTTTTATTTTTCTGTAAGATGGCAGTGTGTGTCTAGTTTAGACTGTTACATCTGCAGGCTGGTGACTGGCCCTGAACTTAAGAAGATCAGTCGGCCTCTTCTTGTGAGATGAAACTGGCTCGAGTGACCCTGGCTGGGTGGCTTGGGGGAGATACCTCTGGGGAGTCTCGGGGCACAGTGCATTTCTCTGGGGCATCCAGGGCGCTCTGTTCCATCTCCCACAGGTCCTGTGGATCCCCCTGTGGCTGTGGGCACCCCCCCATGTGGGGTGGTCTTGGATTGTCTGCTGGGGGTCCCTGTTATGCTTGGCATTCTCTTGGGGCTTTTCCACACCCCCACGGGGACAGAACGTGGCACATGTCCCCCACCTCTGCCATGGGTCAGGCCTCTAACAGGTCCGCCATTTCCACTGGACAGAGGTGGGGACGTGGAATCTCCCTGGGAGTGGGTGGGGGGCGTTCTGTCTTGGGGGGCTGCCCCTGTAACCGATGCCCTTCCTCAGCATGGGGCGGGCCTGCTTCTGTGTGGGCCTTGACCTCCCAGTGCCATTCCTGGTGGCTGTCCAGTGTGGTCACCCAGGGACAGCTGTACTGTCAGGTGCCTTGTCTCCAAGGGCTCAGGGGTCAGGTTGTCCCCCACTGTGCCCTGCCCCAGCCCAGCCTGAGGGGGTGAGATCAGGGAGGGTGGCGTGGGATCAAGGAGGGTGGGGTGGGCCTGGTGCCCCCACGCTGCGTGGCCTGTCCTGTCCTGTCCTGTTGTGGGGACTTGCTGAGAGAGCGATGGAGACACACGCCACCGCCCATGCCGTGAGGCGGGGCTTTGCTCCTGCAAACACCCTTCAGCCTACACAGAGGAGGCCACTCAAGGCACAGAGCTGGGCGGGCTGAGGTGGCACCAGTAGGTTGTCTTGCCGCCTCCAGGTTCTAAGTCCCCTGGTCACCTGGGTGCCCAAGAGGCTGCCAGGGTCCACGTGTGTTGGGAGTGAGGGGTGTCAGGCCAGGGGCCCTTGAGCCGGGGGCACGGGGAAGGGGCCGAAGGAGGGGTGGGACTGTCCCTGTGCACCCTCAGGGCCAGCGTTCGCCGTGTGCCTGGGATGGCAGTGGCTGCGGGTCTGCCTCCACATAGCTGTGAGAATCGGAGCCGCTGCCCTGGATGGCAGCGCCCTCTCCCCTTCAACATGTGCCCCCGCCCAGGACACGCACCCCTCCTCCCATCACCCTTCCCTCTCTGCTGGCCAGACGCTAGTCTGCCATGCCATGTCCAGCCTCGGTATGCCCACCGTCCCCAGCCCGTCCCACCATGTGCCCTCTGTGTCCTTTCTCTGAGACCACGGGCCTCAGCAGGCCAAGGGGTCCTGTCTGCCACGGCTCTGCTTAGCCCTCGGCCGTTGCTGTGAGGCCAGACCCCTGCCCAGGGCCTGCCCCACCAGCCCCCTCGGTCTCTTCTCCGCCCCTCCTCCATGGCATTGGCTCCGCAGGGTCTCAGGGTCTTGACTTGCAGGGTGCTCCTTGCCTGCGGGGCTCACTGGTCTGCCCGCTGCCTCCCCAGCCCCTGGGAGGGCGTGTGGGTCTTTTGGGTGCCCGGGCCATGGCGGCAGGCCTCGGGGGTTCAGTGGGAGTTCGGCGGCACCCCTCCGCAGGCGGCTGCCCTCCTTCCTTCCCTCCTGTTTCTCCGTGGCTTGCGAACGCCCTCCCTGCGGCTGAGGGGCGCCTGCCCCAGGACTACCGGCTGCACCTGGTCTCTCCCTCCGTCCTCTACCCCCAGCTTCCCATCCCATTTCAAGAGGCTCGGAGGGCCGGGCTCGGTGCCTCTGCCTGTCATCCCAGCACTCTGGGAGGCCAAGGCGAGTGGATTGCCTGAGCCTGCCGGTTCGAGACCCACCTAGGCAACTTGGCCAGACCTCGTCTCTACAATAAATCAAAAAAATTTAGTCGAGCGTGATACCACCATGCCTGTAGTTCCGGCTGCTTGGAAGGCTGAGGCGGAAGGATTGCCGGAGCCCAGCAGGTCCAGGCTGCGGGGGCCGGGAGCGGCCACTGCACTCCACTCTGGGTGACAGAGTGAGACTCCAACTCAAGAAAAGGAAAAAAAGGAGCCTCGGAGGTGACGTGCAGCTGGCTCTTACTGTTGGTCCTCTTGGGTCCAGGACCTTGTTTCTCCATGGTGTCCACGTGCCCCAGATGGGTCCTGGCCCAGGGCGGGAGCAGGGACGTGTCTGGGCTGAGGGAGCATGAGCTGGTCATGTCGGAGGGTGCTGGATGGCCAGCTGTGGCCATGGCCCGGCTTTCCTGACAAGCTCTCGGTCCTGTGAACCCAGCCCCTCCCACACAACCTCACGGCTGCAACTCTGGGCAGCGTCCGCAGCCGAGATGACAGGGGCATCCTGGTCGCAGGGGTACAAGGGTCCTCGTGAGTGAGGAGAAAGGACCCTGAGCCAACAGACTGGATGTGTCCCGTTGCTGAGTGAGGTTTCGCTTCAAGGGCGTGGGGGCTTTTGGAGCAAACACACAAGGCTGTGCCGGCATTAGTGAGCACCGAGAGTTTGATTTGGACTGGGGTTTTCCAGGCGTTGGGATCTGTGGCCCCTGTGACTGCTGGGTCTCACGTGGCATGGGCACTCTGCCTGGCACCGGCTGTCGGCCCTCCCATCTGCCTACGCTCCCCTCCCCACTAGGCACACATGGCACGGCCACCCTCCTCCTTCTGCTCGGCCTTTTAGTTACCGCATCCCCCGTCCTGGTCCTGGCCCATGTGGCCGGAGCCAGGGCAGGGGCCCAGGAGCTGGCCGGGGTCCAGAACGGACCTCTCCCGGCTCTTCGGTGGCCATGGCATGTCGTGATCTGCTGGTCGCTCTCAACAGGGATTCGGCGAGGCTGGTGCAGGTCTCCATGTTGGCAGACCCTCGGCCTGGAGGGGAGGCCCGCTCAGGAGGACGGGGGTCGGAGAGGATGGTGCTGCGTGTGTCCATCCCTAGGCCTCTCATGCCTCCCGGGCCAGGTGCCAAACCGGGGCCCAGGGTGTACAGCGAGCATGGCGCGGAGCCAGGCTCTGTGGGAAGAGTGGGAGGGAAGCTAGATTCCTCCAGCAGGAAGTGGGCAGGGCAGGCGTGGTGCCGCCTGGAAAGCTGTCTGGTGGGCTCCTCTGCATGCGTGTCAGGGTGAGGCTGCAGGGGTGAACGGTCCCCCGTGGCTGGTCCTCCAGGGACGGGCCGTGTCCCTTGGGATCTCTGAAATGCAGCTGGTGGGGGGACAGCCTCGGCATACTCCCTGGCCACTGGGTCTGGGCATGGGTGGTTAGCGCAGCCCAGACAGCCCCAGGACTGGTGGAGGAGAAGGCAGGTGACCTGACTGGGAGGAGGTGACTCGACTTGGGGCCTGGTGGCCAGTGGGGACAGCGTGGGGCCTGAGAAGGGGCTCAGGGCTGCGTCCACAGAGACCCAGAACCACGTGGTACCTGGTGTTCAAGCCACCTCTGTCAGGCTGCTGGTGCAGACGAGGGAGCCAGCCCTCGCATCCCTGGGGACTGGAGCTGTGAGGACGGGCTGGGCCATCTCCTGTCTCCTGGCCTCTGTTGCTAGGGCCCGATGTTTGGAGGTGGCCTGTGTCCCTCAAAGAGTCCCCAGAGTCCTCGCTTGCCGAGGAGGGGTCCTGGGAGGCTCCCAGACTATGTTGCTGTCAGGTCCCAATAGCCCCCACCTGGGCACATGCCCACACCGGCACCATGGGGCGTCCTGGGGCACACCTCTCTACACTACGTGGGAATCCAAAGACAGACGTGCTTGCGTTTGAAATGGCGGGGCCAACTGAGTCGCACGGCTGAGCACCTGCGGGGGCGATCTGCACTTCCTGGTGCTGCCTTGACCCTGACCCTGACCTCCCATTTCTGCCTCCAGGTAAAGGCCGGCGTGTCCAGCCCCAGTGGTCCCCTCCCGCCGGGACTGAGCCATGTAAGCTTCGCCTGTACAACAGCCTCACCCGAAACAAGGTAAGGATGCAGACGACCACGTGTGTGCCCACGCAGGTCAAGTGGGGTGGCCCGGGCATCCTTTCCAATGGTCCGTCCATCGTGTTAGGCTCTGGAGCTCTGTGAATCCAGGTTTGAGATCTCGAGATCCCTCGATGACTGCCATGTCGTAACCGCTGGCTGGGGGTGGAGCTGCCTTCCCATGGCAGCCTGCCCAAGTGTGAACACTCAAGGCAGCCACAGGCAAGCCAGGGACACGCGGTTGCAGTTGGCACTGCTGTGCAAGCTGGCAGAGCGGGCAAGCCACACACCTGTGGGCATGGTCAGGGTGGCCGGTCTCCAGAAGGACACAGGACCAGGCCCCGTGGAGCAAGTTGTGTGGTGTGCTCTGCTCAGGGGTGGCTGGTGGCCCTAGAAGTTTCCAAAAGGGCCCCATCCAGGCCAATGAGACTTTTCACCAGTGAGGCCACGTGGCAGGCAGGGAGATGGGATGGCCGCTCACGACTGTCTTCGCAGAGCTGGCTGATGAGGTCACCCCGAAGAGTCTAAGGAGTGGGGAGTCCAAAACAGTGGCCGGCTTGCCGCTGTTTGGGGGTCCTGGCCCCCCCAAGTCTGGCTCCCCCAGTGGGACAGACCCAGGCTACGTGCTCTCAGCCTCAGGAATAGCACTGCCCATGGCCAGAAGTTACATATGGAACAGAAGTGATTCCATTGCGAGCTTAGCTCGGACTGGCACACAGTAGGTGCTCAGTGAGCGTCAGCTCAGCTGTTGTTAGAAAAGCAGCATTTCAGCAAGGAAGAAAGCGCTGATACCCGTCTCACTCCCTCCGTGGGGAGGAAGCGACTTGGCCCCCCAGGGATCCAGCCAGGGGTGGGGCCATTGGTGGGCTCCCAGGGTCCCGCCAGATCTCGTGACTCTTCATGATGAACACGGCGGTCCTCGCTGGATTGGTCTGCACGAGACACAGTCCTCACCGTGATGTTGTTGCTGTTCCTGGTAACCCTGTGCAGTGTCTTGCGTTTCTCATGATCATTCTTCCTTCGTTCCCAACGCAGGAAGTGTTTGTGCCTCAAGACGGGAAGAAGGTGACATGGTATTGTTGTGGGCCAACCGTCTATGACGCATCTCACATGGGACACGCGAGGTGAGTCCCCTGCTGAAGGCCAGAACCCCCGGGCCATGTGGGGACCCTAGCTCTAGGAAGATCTTTGATCTGCTGTGGGGACCTGGTATTTACTTATTTATGTATTTAAATTTTTTTGAGTCGGTGTCTTGCTCTGTGGCCTGGGCTGGAGCGCAGTGGCACACTTACTGCCACCACAGCCTCAACCTGCTGGGCTCCGGCGATCCTTCCGCCTCGGCCTTCCAAGTAGCCAGAACTACAGGCACTCACCACCATGCCTGGCTAATCTTTGGATTTATTGTTGAGAAGAAGTCTCACCAAGCTGCCTAGGCTGGTCTCGAACCACTGGGCTCAGGCAATCCTCTTGCAAGCCTCTTAAAGTGCTGGGATTACAGGCATGAGCCACTGCGCTCAACTGAGACCTTTTTTTTTTTTGAGTTGGAGTCTCGCTCTCGTTGCCCCGGCAGGAGTGCAGTGGCATGCTCAATGGCCCTGCATCCTTGACCTGCTGGACTTAGGCTATCTTTCCATCACAGCCTTCCAAGTAGCTGGAACTGCAGATGCACACCACCACACCCAGCTAGTTTTTTTGTGATTTATTGTAGAGACGAGGTCTCACCAACTTGTCCAGGCTGGTCTCGAACCCCCGGGCTCAGGCAGTCCTCTCGTCTCAGCTTCCCAAAGTGTTGGGATGACAGGCTGAGCCACCGTGCCCAACTGGGAACTGATATTTCAAAGGAAAAATCCACCCTGAGCTTTTCTTCTCTCATCTCTGAGATGAAGGCTTTAATTTCATCAGTGACCCGTGTTTACTGCAGGAAGATTCACGCAAAGGAAAGCCCACAGCCCCACTGTTAGTGTCCCAGACTCTGCCACAGACCTTGAGGTCCTTCCTCATCCCACAAGCTTGGGGGGGTCCCTGATGTTAAGTTCAGTGATGCCCAGTCCTGAGGCTGAGGTGCTGTGACCCCCAGGTGGTCACGGTGTGGCTTATGGAGAGTGGTTGGCTGCTGGGTGAATGCCGCCAGACCCTCTACATGTACATGTTTCCGTGGCAACACTGAGATCGTGCACATTTGATGCTTGAGTGCCACAGGAATTAGCGTGCCAACCCCTTGCACATTGAAAATCCATGTGTAACTTCTGACACCTCAGTAACTTAACAACTCATATGTTACTGTTGACTGGAAACCTCACCAATAACAGTCAGCTGATGGATGCGTATCTTGTATGTCCTATGTCTCATACACCGTGTTCTTACAAGTAAGCCAGGGAAAAGAAAGTGTTACTAAGAAACTCATAAGGGCCAGGCACAGTGGCTCACGCCTGTCATCCCAGCACTCTGGGAGGCAGAGGCGAGAGGATCACCTGAGTCCAGGGGTTCGAGACCAGCCTAGGCAACTTGGCAAGACCTCGACTCTACAGCAAATCAAAAAATGAACTGGACATGGTGGCATGCGCCTGTGGTTCCAGGTTGGAAGGCTGAGGTGGAAGGATCGCCTGAACTCAGCAGGTCGAGGCTGTGGTGGCCGTGAACATGCCCCTGCCTTCCAACCTGGGCAACTCAGCGAGGCTCCAACTCAAAAAAAAGAGAAAGTCAGCCGCTCGGTGGCTCAGCCTGTAATCCCCGCCTTTGGGAGACTGAGGTGAGTGGATTGCCTGAGCCAGCGGGTTCGAGACCCGCCTGGGCAGCGAGACCTCATCTCTACAATAAATCAAAAAGAAAAATCAGCCGGGCGCGGTAGCGCATGCCTGTAATTCCGGCTACTCGGAAGGCTGAGGCGGAAGGATCGCCGGAGCCCAGCGGGTCGAGGCTGTGGTGGCCGGGAGCGGCCACTGCACTCCAGTCTGGGCGACGGAGTGAGACTCCGACTCAAAAACAAAAAAAAGAGAAAGTCATACGGAAAATATATTTCTTCTTCACTTTAGATGGAAGTGGGTCATCATAAGGTCTTTGTGTTGAGGAGGAGGAAGGGGGGCTGGTCTTACTGTCTGGGGGGTGGCGAGGCAGAAGGAAACCCACATATGAGTCCTTGGGCGGTTTGGGGCGCACAAAGGGCCCCTGCTCCCGACCACCCGCTGGAGCCGTCTGCTTCCCTGGCTCTAGGTCCTACATCTCTTTCGACATCTTGCGGAGAGTTTTGAAGGATTACTTCCAGTTCGACGTCTTCTATTGCATGAACATCACAGATATCGACGACAAGGTAAAGGGGGGTCTCGAGGCTAAACTTTCAATGCAGTTGGACGAGATGAGTGAAGGTAAGCCTCTCAGAGGAGTACATCAGCAGCCGGGCTCGGTGGCTCAGCCTGTCATCCTGCACTTTGGGGAGGCTGAGGTGAGTGGATTGCCTGAGCTTGCGGGTTCCAGACCCGCCTGGGCAACTTGGCGAAACCTCATCTCTACAATAAATAAAAATGAGCTGGGTGTGGTAACGTGCGCCTGTAGTTCCAGCTGCTCGAAAGGCTGAGGCGGAAGGATCGCCGGAGCCCAGCAGGTTGAGGCTGCGGTGGCCGGGAGCAGCCACTGCACTCCAGTCCGGGCGACAGAGTGAGACTCCAACTCAAAAAAAAAAAAAAAAAAAAGAGTAGATCAGCAATGTAGGATTGAGGTGGCCTGGGTCTGGACCTCATGGACGTTCTCCAAAGCCCCTCGAGGGATCAGCTTGTGCACCGATACCCTCAGCTCTGCAGATGTTAGGAAGTCACACCATCAGGGCGAGTTGGTTAAGAGCCAGTGGCCCGTGGTGAACCGAGGGGGAAGGACCTGTCCCAGCACGTGCCTTGGCGTGGGGCTCTGCGTGGGAGACTGGGGCCCTGGGCACCGCGCGGCTGGTGTGGCCAGTGTTTGCGTTCCCTGGAGCTGAGGATGTTTGGCACCCACAGCGCCCCCACGGCACCCTCACCCTCTCTGAGTTCACCAGGCGTGAGAGCAGCCTGCTCCCGGGGTGAAGGCGGGCTCCGAGGTAAACCCACGTCTGCCTCCTCCCCAGATCATCCGGAGGGCCCGGCAGAACTACCTGTTTGAGCAGTACCGGGAGAAGAGGCCGCGGGCAGCCCAGCTCCTGGAGGACGTGCACGCCGCCCTGCAGGTAGGCGCGCGCACGCTGGAGGCCACGCCCTTCACGCCGTGTGGGGCTCTTGGGCTCCTGTGGTCACTCTCCCTGGGGTGGTGCCCTCCTCAGCAGGCTTTCACAGGGGGTGGGACACTCAAGCCAGTTCCATCAGGGAAGACTGGGACGGGGGCGGGTCGGTGACATTCCTGCCTCTTACAGAACGACATCTGCATTCATTACGGGGCAGCAGTCCCTCTTCCTTGTGAAGGTGCTTCCTAGTATCGCTAGCTCATCTCTACTGTTAAGGTCACAGCCACGTCAGAAACCTCTGCGTAAGATGCAGGAGCCGTCTATACTAAGCTCCTTAAATGCAGACTGCTGTTCACTGTCAGAATTGTTTGGAGAAGTTGGTTCTCTCCGATACAGATTTTCATTCTGAGCAAGCATTATTACAAACGTGTAGTTATTTGTGTTACATAGTAAGATTAGAATAAGTCATTTTGCCCTTACTAATTACTGATTATCCTTAGTAATTGCAGTCATAATTACTGGCATATTTATGGCATTTTGTCTCTGGAAGAAAAACCAGGAATATGAGGCAGCAGACGCTCTCACCGCTGTCCCGCCGGTTGGGTCCTTCACAATGTAGCTTCCCTCTCATCAATCTACCTTTCTTAATTAAAAACCAAGAATATAATTAGAGTGTAGCGGTCTCTCAGCCAGCGAGGCTCGCATGCCGTCATGATGGAGGGTGGCCGTGGTGACCATCCTCTACCCCCACACAGCCTGGGAGCTGCTCTGTCATATGCCTTTTGCATCGGAGAAACAGGCATCGAGAAACCAAAGCCCAGGGTCACCTGTAGGGAGGGGGCAGCGCCAGCAGCGCCTGGGCCAGGGGCTCCAGAGTCTCTTGTCCCCACCCTGCTGCCTGGGGTGCAAGGCAGCCCCGGGGAAATCTAGATTCCCTCCTGCCCGAGTCACCTGGATGGACTCAGGGTTTTGCCGCGGAGTCTGTAGCCCATTTGACGTCTCTTTACGGTTGCAGTCATTTTCAGAAAAATTGAGCGAGACCACAGACCCCGATAAAAGGCAGATGCTGGAGCGGATCCAGCAGGCCGTGCGGCTGGCCGCAGAGCCACTGGAGAGGGCCGTGCAGTCCCAGCTGGCCGGAGAGGAAGTGGACAGCCGAGCGCAGGTGGGTCTGAATATGTCGTGGCGGCTGCCTCGGGCCCCACCCCTCTTGCCCTGTCAGGAGTGAGTCTCGGGGGTCCCTTGGAGTCCTGCTCCCGCCCCGTGCCCTCCCACCACTTTCGTCAGAGAAGCAGGAGATGCACTTGGAACGTGGGGAACAGTCCCTGTCTGTCATCCCAGGGCTTCCCGGGTCCCCCTGTGTTTCTCGATGGCAGCAACTGGAGAAAGGGGACTGGGGCTAAAGTTGGGTGAGCATGGGGCCGTGGGTGCCTGCGGAGCTTGGGCCTTCCTGCGGGTCAGCGCTTCCGCCTCCGTGCAGCCCTCCTCCGGACACAGGGGATGGCCTGGTCCTGTCTCTCTGCGGGCCTTCCCTGTGGCTGGCGTCCCGGGCCGGCCCTTCGCTTTTGTGCCAGCGCCCCCTGCTGGCCGTCTTTTTTTTTTTTTTTTTTTTTTTCTTGGAGTAGGAGTCTCTGTCACCCAGGCTGGAGGGCAGGGGCACGCTTTTGGCCACCGCAGCCTTGACCTGCTGGGCTCAGGTGATCCTTCCACCTCAGCCTTCCAAGCAGCTGGAACAACAGGCATGGCCACCATGTCCAATTTTTTTCTTTATTTATGGTAGAGATGAAGTCTTGCCAAGTTGCCCAGGCTGGTCTTGAACCCCTGGGCTCAGGGAATCCTCTCGCCTCCGCCACCCAGTGCTGGGATGACAGTCATGAGCCACTGCGCCCAGATAATGTTCTTTTTAAAGACTCACATGGCCAGGCTCAGTGGCTCAGCCTGTCATCCCAGCACTTTGGGAGGCCGAAGCATGTGGATGGCCTGAGCCCGCGGGTTCAAGACCCGCCCGGGCAACTTGGAGAGACCTCATCTCTACAATAAATCAAAAATTAACCGGGCGTGGTAGTGTGCGCCTGTAGTTCCACCTACTTGGAAGGCTGAGGTGGAAGGATCGCCAGAGCCCAACAGCTCAAGGATACAGTGGCCGGAAGTGTGCCACTGCACTCCAGTCTGGACGACAGAGTGAGACTCCAACTCAAAAAAAAAAAAAGACACACGTGATGTAAAATTGCCATCCTCACCGGCTTTAAGTGTACAATGTGATAGCACTGTGTATATCCACATGGTCATGCAGCTGTCACCACCATCATCTCCAGAACTCTCTCCTGTTCCCAAACTGAAGCTCTGTCCCCATGAAACACTCATGCTCCCCAGCACCCCCGCTCACCTCCTGTGTCTGTAGGTTCCACGACTCTAGGACCTCATGTTGGGGGACTCACACAGTGCTGGTCTCTGACGGGCTTATTTCACTCAGCATCGTGTCCTCAGGTCTGTCCCCATTGTAGCCCGTGTCAGGATCTCCTTCCGGTGAGAGGCTGAGTGAGAGGCCCCTGTGTGTGTTTCACGTGTTCGTTCAGCTTCAGTGGGCACGTGGTTCGTTCCACCTTCCGGCTGATGTGGATAACGCTGCCGTGAACACGGGCTTGTGGCAGTCTGCTCGGTCCCTGCTTTCACTTCTTTCGGGCTAGACCCCGCCGTAACACGACGGTGCTGTCCCTGACCTTCTCAGCAACTGCCATGCTGTCTCCACAGCGGCTGCGCCATTACATCGCCCAATGGCGTGAGCGTTCCCCCCCCCCATGGCCTGGCCACACTGTCACTCCCTGACTTTTTCAGGTGGTGTCTCCTGCTCTTGGTTTGCACTCTCCGGCGACTGGAGATCGGAGCAGGGGCAGGCGAGAGGGGACAGGCTCGGGCCTGAAGAATCTGTGGGCCGCTTCCGAGGCACCCTCCCTCCTCCCTCTTCCCTCCCGTGAGGGACATGAGCACGTTCTCCCCCCACCAGGAACAGCACAGCTCCCAGGGCTTCGGCTCCCACCCAGGACCTCTGCTGTGCTTTGTGCTCTGATGTTGCCAGGCTTCCAATACGCCAAATGCTGATGCCATCCAAACGGAACTGGAGATGAGGATCACCTGGGCCGGGTGTGGTGGCTCAGCCTGTCATCCCAGCACTTTGAGAGGCCGAGGCGAGTGGATTGCCTGAGCCCGCAGGTTTGAGACCAGCCTGGGCAACTTGGCGAGACCTTGTCTCTACATAAAATTAAAAAATAGCTGGGCATGGTAGCATGTGTCAGTAGTTCCGGCTACTCGGAAGGCTGAGGCAGAAGGATGGCTGGAGCCCAGAAGGTTGACGCTGAGGTGGCCATGAGTGTGCATGCCACTGCACTCCATCCTGGGCGATGGGATGAGCTCCAACTCAGAAAAACGAATCACCTGAAGAGCTTGCTGAGGGAGGGCCCTTTCCAGACCTGCTGAAGCTAGAGCAAAGCCTGCTAATCTGTGGGCCAGGCAGCACCCTGTGTCATGGCCGCAGGTTCCTGGATTTCATGTCATGGAAATAGGCACGAGGCCACACAGACTCCCAGACAAGGGCTCTCTGGGGACTCATGCAAGGGAGGCAGCTCAGGAGAAGGGGTCCTCTGGCTGGTCCCCAAAGGGGCTGTCGGGGGGCATTTTATTAGGTAAGAGGAAGGTGTCACATTGAGGGAAATGTGTGTTAGCAGATAAGGGGGGGGTATTGTTATTTTGTTTTGAGTTGGAGTCTCATTCTGTCACCCAGGCTGGAGCACAGTGGCACACTCATGGCCAGCCCAGCAGCTACCTGCTGGGCTCCGGAGAGCATTCTCCCTCAGCCTTCCAAGCAGCCAGAGCTACAGGCATGTGCTATCACACCTGCCTGGCTAATTTCTGATTTATTGTAGAGCTGAGGTCTCACCAAGTTGCCCGGGCTGGTCTCAAACCCACGGGCTCAGGCAATCCATTCTCAGCCTCCCAAAGTGCTGGGATGACAGGCTAAGTCACCGAGACCAGCCAGCATAGCGTACCGTCCAAGTGTAGCGTACATGCATACTTCATACATTGCATCTACCAAAAATGGCGGGTAAGCCTCACTCAGAGAGGAGATTTCAGAACCCTAGTGGGACCAGGGGCTCGGATCAGTGGGCTTGTGCACATGTGGGTGAGGGGTGAATTCTCCTTGAGTTTCTTAGATCCCTTGTAAGGTCTGGCAGTCAGCTAATGTGTGTGGAGCGAGACATTAGTGGGACGGAGGCCGAGTCCCGTCCCTGTTGTGTCTGACCTTGAATGTTCTCATCATCAGGCAGGGTTAGACATGTTGCTGGGAAGCAGCTTTTGCGTATCTTGAAGGGTATTTCGCCACACTTGTTGAAGTGGGCTTTGCCGGGTGCACAGTTCACGTGCATGACTGTTTCTCTCTGGGATTATTTTGCTGTCTTCCGGCTTCCATCTTTGCCTGTTGTTGAGGGCAGGTGGCTGCCCTTACAACTGCCTTTCTCCTGTAGGCAGATATATCTTTTCTATCTGTCTCCTTATAAAAATGCTCTTTCTTGTTTGTTTGCTGATTCACTGGACGTTAGAAGGGATTTATTTTGACTTGTCCTGATGGGTATGTTTTGCGCTTCCTGAGTCTGGATTGTTGCATCAGTTCTGAGAAACTCATATGTCTTCAAGTGTCACCTCTGCTCCGTTCCCTCTTTCCTCTCTGGGATTCCAGTGAGATGTGAGAACATCTGTTCATCCTCCTCCTCTGTGTCTCTCACTCTGTCTTTCATATTTTCCTTCTTATCTCTGTTTCATTTTGAATGACTTCTTCAGTTCTGTCTTGCCTTTCACTAATTCTCTGTTTGGCTATCTGTTCTATCCTATTGCATGTTTTTATTTCATCAGTTAATAAGATTTCACCTCTGAAAGACCCATCTGTCTCTATTTTCTTTCTTTTATCTTTTTTCTCTTTTTTTTTGAGTTGGAGTCTCACTCTGTCACTCAGGCTAGAGTGCAGTGGCTTGCTCACGTCCACTTCAGCCTTGCAAGTAGCTGGAACTATGGGCACACACCACCATTCCCAGCTAATTTTTTGATTTATTGTAGAAGTGAAATCTCACCAAGTTGCTCAAGCTGGTCTCAAACCCATGAACTCAGGTAGTCCTCTCACCTCGGCCTCTCAGAGTGCTGGGATTATAGGTGTGAGCCACCGCACCTGGCCATGTCTCTATTTCACATCTACCTGGGCCACTTCGAGAACCTCTTAATGCTTACTAGTGCTTATCGTCTTGTGATTGTCTTTATTTTTTCAAGCATGCTATACTCACTATTTTTTGCTGTGTATCTGAGGACTCTTATATCTGAAGCCCTTGTAAGTGTCAACCCACTGTTTGTCGTCTCTGCCAACTCCCGCCCACGGTTGCTCGTGTCCCTGGGTGTTGGTGACCTTGATTCGGATCTCGGTTCTTATTGGGTTGTGATCTTGGCAATCCTAAGTGCTGGGACACACTCACCTGGGGCCACTCGCCCCTAGCATGTTTCTGTCGCCCTGCTTGGTGCAGACCCAGCCTTTGCCTTCTGGGCACGCGCCCTGCCTGTGATGCTGTCTGCCCCCTGGGTGCCCAGCTGTGACAGAAGGCCGAGCATCCTTTCAGATTTATTTGGCACTTGGAAGCCCTGCAGCCCGTTGACTGGTATGCTTTATCTGGGAGCCGTTGGCAGGGGTGCCTCAGGAGCCTGACCCGGGGGCTGTGCTCTTCCCTGTGGTGGTTATGGCACTCCATCCCCTGTGTCCTTGCGCTCTACCAGGTCATCGTCTACACTGGTCTCTCTAATGAGCAGCCTACTCCCACAGTAGACCCTGGGCTGCCTGCCTGGCCTCACATCTGACCTGTTTCACTTCAGATGTTGAGAACATGGGGTCCCTCCAAGTGGGTGGAGGGTGGGCGTTTCTCCCTTCTGATGTGAGTGCAGTGGAAACACTCTTTTTTTTTTATGTTGGAGTCTTACTCTGTCGCCCAGACTGGAGTGCAGTGGCACGCTCCTGGCCACCACAACCTTGACCTGCTGGGCTCTGGAGACCCTTCCACCTCAGCCTTCCAAGTAGCCAGAACTACAGGCATGCGCTACCATGCCCGGCTAATTTTTGATTTATTATAGAGATGAGGTCTTGCCAAGTTGCCCAGGTGGGTCTTGAACCAGCGGGCTCAGGCAATCCACTTGCCTCGGCCTCCCAAAGTGCTGGGATTACAGACTGAGCCACCGAGTCCGGCCAAGTGAGGATACTCTTTAGACTGCCGGGGCATGTGGTCAGGACACAGGTCACACAGGTGCTGTGTTGTGGGACCGGTGGCTTCTCCTCCTGTGGTGCGTGAGGTGGGGATGGCGTCTTCAGTCGATGGCATCGGGAGACAGGGCCCGGGCGTCCTGCTGTCTGTCCTCACCTGACTGTCTCTGTCGTGACTGTTTTCAAGCTCACCCCGTGCCTGTTGGTGACACACTGTGTGTTCCTGCCCCGCCTCTGCCCATGACCCCACTCTTGTAGGGACTTGTCCTCCCCAAGCCCAGCCTGACCTTCCGACTCATCCTGCCTCTGCACCCACAGCCTCTCTGGGGTCTGCTTCTCTGTTCACGCAAGACCCTCCTGTGAGTGGAGACTCCTGCTGGGCCTCCCTGCCTCCTGGGGCCTGATGGCTCTTTGCAGATGGGGCTGTGCACGTGGTGGGCGTGCATGAGGCGTGCAGCCTGGACCTGGACGTGCTCCCCTCTCACAGGTGCTGCTGGAGGAGGCCAGGGACGTACTTTCCGACTGGCTGGACGCCACGCTCGGCAGCGAGGTGACTGACAACTCCATCTTCTCCCAGCTGCCCAAGTTCTGGGAAGGCGAGTTCCACAGAGACATGGAGGCCCTGAACGTGAGTGTCGCGAGCGGCCCGTCCATCTTGCGTGAGGCCGTGGCTCTGAATCCTCTGCTGGGGACACCAGTGGGCCTCGTGCCTGCTCAGCGAGGGGCTGAGTCGAGGGCCTTCTTGTCCTGGGAATTGGTGCCGTTTTTGTGGACGTGCTTATCAGATACTGCGGGTTCCAGATGGGAAACCCAGGCCTCTCATGTCTCCGCAGGTCCTCCCTCCTGACGTCTTAACCCGGGTGAGTGAGTACGTGCCGGAAATCGTGAACTTTGTCCAGAAGATTGTGGACAACGGCTACGGGTAAGGGGCCCGTCTTGGGCTTGCGTTTCAGAGAGAGCTCCCCGGCTCTGAGGCAGGGTCATGGTCGCAGGGCGCTGGTGTCCTGGGGTGCCCGGCCAAGGACAGTCCCTTCAGCTCACCCCACAGCATGGGCCCTCGCCCTGACCACTTGGTCCCAGCTTCCAGGGCTGCCTGTTAGCGAAGCCCTGTGGGATCTGCATTCCATGTCAGCTGCCTTCATAGCAGGTGTCTGACTACATGGACACTGCCTCTGTTCAAGGCAGGAAGCAGGAGGGGGAGGGTGCTGGCTGCGCTCGGGCCCACCTCGAAGCCCCCAGCATACACCTCCTGCAGCCTGGGGGCCCAGAGCGCAGATCCTGCCGACCACCCGCTAGGCAGACGTGGCCACCTGCCCTGGGGGCTGCAGTCAGTCCAGAAGCTCAGCAGTTCAGACCATGGGCAAAGGGCCCAGAGGGTGAGCGGGACGCTGCCCAGTTATCAGAGACATCAGCGCCGCAGCCCTGACACTTTCTCATCCACGTCTCTCACTGGGCTGTGAGTTGAGCCACTTTGCTGGTGATCCCATCACCTGCTGCCCTGCCCAGGCATGCCCCTCAGTGCCATCTGGCTCAGGAAACCCTTCCCCAATCCCCAGAATTAGCGTTTGCAGAGGCAGCCAGCCAGCAGACACACAGACGGAAACCAGAGTCTGTCTGCAATTGGCAGTGAGCTGTGCCCCTGCCTCGGGACAGCGGGACCAGTGGCGGGCCCTGTGCCTACCCTCAGGCCATGGCCCTCCCGCCAGGCTGGGAAGAGAGTCGGGCGGGATGGCTGAGGAGTGCGAGGCCGCGGGTGCCGGGGGCAGGTTGGCTCTCACAGCAGTAAGGACGCCTCTCTGTGTGACACAAACCTGCAGGGCAGCCAGGCCTGTCTGCTACGCCCTCCAGCTGGAGTGATTTGGAGTGATTCTCAGAAGCCGAGAGCCTCTCCTGGGCCGAGCTGGTGGGTGGAGTGTGGACAGGGCCGGGAGAGGGCACGCTACCCGAGGTCAGCAGGGCGGGGGACTGTGTGCTCCCAGGACACCGGGCAGAGGGCGCACTGCCTGGGACAGCCTCTGCCAGGCGACAGGGCCCGAGCATGCTGGTCAGTTCACGTAGCTGATGTAGTTCCATGCAGCTGCTGGGGAAAGGGGGCTGAGCGGGGCCCGCCGGGTTTCCAGGTCGTCCTGCAGAGGCCTCGGGCCTCTCTCATGCCCGCCCCTCCTGTTTTCCAGCTACGTTTCCAACGGCTCCGTCTACTTCGACACTGCCAAGTTTGCTTCCAGTGAGAACCACTCCTACGGGAAGCTGGTGCCTGAGGCAGTGGGCGACCAGAGGGCTCTTCAAGAAGGGGAAGGTGAGAGGGGTGCGAGCCGAGGAGCCAGGGCACCCACAACCACCTGAGGGGATTCTAGGAGTTCCTGCCTTAAGACTGTGATGTGTTTGATACATGATAGCTGGACATACCTGGGGCATGTGTGATATTTCGAGATATGCGTAGCAATCAAATCAGGGCAATTAGCATGTCCAGCACCTCAGTGATGATTTCTTGGTGTTGGGAACATTCTAGACCTTCTCTTCTGGCTCTTTAGAGACATGAGAGGGTGAAGGGAAGCACACCTCATCAACAAGAGTACCTGCATAATAAACATTTGTAGACCTAACCCTGAATTGTACCCCACATCTTTAAAATTAAGAATTAAAGGCCAGGTGCAGTGGCTCAGCCTGTAATCCCAGCTCTTTGGGAGGCTGAGGTGAGAGGATTGCCTGAGCCCACGGGTTCACGACCAGTATGGGAAACATGGTGAGACCTTGTCTCTACAATAAATTTTTTTAAAAATTAGCTGGGCGTGGTAGCGCCCACCTGTAGTTCCGGCTACTTGGAAGGCCGAGGCAGGAGGATCACCGGAGCCCAGCAGGCTGAGGCTGCGGTGGCCAGGAGCATGCTACTGCCCTCCAGCCTTGGCAACAGAGTGAGACTCCAACTCAAAAAAAAAATTAAATTAATTAAAAATGTATTTAGCCGGGCTCGGTGGCTCAGCCTATAATCCTCCGCTTTGGGAGGCTGAGGTGACTGGATTGCCTGAGCCCGCAGGTTTGAGACCCGCCTGGGCAACTTGGCGAGACCTCATCTCTACAATAAACCAAAAAAAAAAAAAAATTGACCAGGTGTGGTAGCACACACCTGTAGTTCCAGCTACTTGGAAGGCTGAAGCGGAAGGATTGTTGGAGCCCAGCAGGTCAAGGCTGGGGTGGCCATGAGCGTGCCACTGTACTCCAGCCTGGGAGATGGAGTGAGACTCCAACTCAAAAAACAAAAAAAATTATTTAACCCCCCTAAAAAAAGAAAAAAAGAAACATGCAGCAAGTTAAACTCTACGTGGCTGTCAGGAAATTAATAAGCGCAGTCACTCCGCGGTGCTGTGGAGCACAAGGACCCACTCCCAACTGACCGTCTGTCTATACCCAGCTCCCCCCTTCCCTCCCCCTCTTCCTCTCCTTCCCCCCTCCTTCTGTCCCCCTGGTGACTGCCATCCACTCTGCCTCCCTGCTCCCCTGGTAGTCCCTGGGCATGAGGGAACACACGACACCTGTCCTCCCATGCCTGACTTACTTCCTGGAACATAACGTAACGCCCTCCGCTTCCATCTACGTCATCACGAATGACAGAATTTCCCTCTTTTAATGGTGTGTAATCCTTCAAGAAGCAAGACAGTAAATGCGATGTGTCTCGAAGCGTACAGCCCTGGGGACTTGATTGGCAGTTGGTGTTTACTGATGCCCGGGTGAGGTTTAGGGTGGCCTGTGGGACAAAATGTGTGTCCAAGGACGCATGTTGGACAGTGTCCACCCCAGCCCATTGTAATCTAGAATTTTTTTTTTTTTTTTTTTTTTTTGAGCTGGAGTCACTCCATCACCCAGGCTGGAATGCAGTGGCATGCTCACAACCACCGCAGCTTCAACCTGCTGGGCACAGGCGATCCTCCCATCTCAGCCTTCCAAGTAGCTGGAACCACAGACACGCACCACCACACCCAGCTAATTTTTTGGTTTATTGTAGAGTTGAGGCCTTGCTAACTTGCCTAGTCTGGTCTCGAAACCCTGGACTCAGCCAGTCCTCTCGCCTCTGCATCCCAAAGTGCTGGGATTATAGGCGTGAGCCGCCCCACCTGGCCAATCCAGATATTTTGGCCACAGGCGTGAGACCTTTTCTCCACCAGGTGGAATTACGTCTGCAACACTTTCAGAGGTGTTTGCTCCATGTTTGTTCCATAAATGAATCTGGGGCCATGGCCACAGGCCAGGGTCTGCCATGTCCCTGTAAGCGGGGATCGCTGTCGTGTGCCAGTTAAAGCACGTTTGTTAAAACACAAAGATTGAGAATGAGCTAAGGGCCAGGTGTGGCGCTCATGTCGCTAAACCCAGCACTTTGGGAGGCTGAGGCGAGAGGGTTACTAGAGCCTGGGACTTTGTGATCAGCCTGGAAAACTTGGCAAGAGTTGTCATCACAAAAAATAAAAAAATTAGCCAGACATGGTAATGCATGTATGTAGTCCCATCTACTCAGAAGGCTGAGGCAGAAGGATCACCTGAGACTAGCAGGTCGAGGCTGTGGTAGCCATGATTATGCCACTGTACTTCAACCTGGGCAACAGAGTGAAACACTGTCTCTCAAATTTTTTTTTTTTTTTTTTTTTTTTTGAGATGGAGTCTCATTCTGTGGCCCAGGCTGGAGTGCAATGGCACACTCACGGCCACCCCAGCATCAACTTGCTGGGCTCCCGCGATCCTTCCGCCTCAGCCTTCCAAGTGGCCGGAACTATAGGCACATGCTATCACGCCCGGTTAATTTTTGATTTATTGTAGGTCTTGCCAAGTTGCCCAGGCTGGTCTCGAAACCGTGACCTCAGGCAATCCACTCGCCTCGTCCTCCCAAAGTGCTGGGATTACAGGCTGAGTCACTGAGCCCAGCCTCAAAATTTTTTAAAAATAAACATTTAAAAAACCTGGGAAGGGAACAACAGTAAGTGGAAAGTAGAAAGAAGGCCATAAAGTAAAAACAGAGATTACAGCAGGAGAAATTATTTATTTTTTTTAGTCAGAGTCTCACTCTGGAGTGCAGTGACACAATCATGATTCGCTGCAGCCTTGACCTCCTGGGCTCAGGCCATCCTCCCACCTCAGCCTCCCAAGTAGCTGGGACTACAGGTACGTGCCACCACACCTGGCTAATGTTTTGATTTGTAGAGACGAGGTCTCGCTATGTTGCCCAGGCTGGTCTCGAACTCCTGGGCTCAATTGATCCTCCCACCTCGGCCTTTCAAAGTGCTGGGATGGCAGGTGTGAGCCGCCACGCCTGGCCTAGAAATAATTCTAAAAGCCAAAAGTTTGTGCTTCACAAAAGTGAATAATATAGAAAAAGTCTTAGCAAGTAGAGTGATTAAAGTAGAAGATTGAAAAATACACCGGAACAAAAACTGGACATGATGACTGCAGCTGTGGCAGAGAGCTTCAAGGCCTTCGAGGAGTCAGGCGCAGCCCGTGCGGCATCCAACACTGACAGAAGGACCCAGCAGAGCAGGACAGGCGTGGCCAGGAGGCCTGAGTGGCTAGATACCTCAAGGGCATCTGGCAAAGGAACATTTCAGAAGGCCGACACAGACTTCTGCGACTTTTGGAGGAATCTTACTGTCAGGCCCCGTCTAGGTGGTTCTTATTCTTGAATATCATTTACTCTTGGACTGGTTTTCCTCCAGACTGACTTTAGGATTGGCATTAAACTCTCCCCTTAAGGAATTTCCCCTGGCCCCCAGTGGGCAGGCCTGGGCACCTCCCTGCAAGGAGCCTGGGCATGGGGTTTTTTCTCTGTGTTACCACAGGCACCCTGACAGCGGGGACTCTGACAGTGACAAAGGGGCTCAGACAACCCTCTCGCTTCTGCCTCCCAGAGGACTGAGATTGCAAGGCGTGGTGTTCAGGGCCCGTGAGTGATCTCTTGTGATGGCCTCTCATGCCACCATGGCATGCCCTAGGCAGCCAGACCACACAGCAAGGCGTGGGTAGGAATGCCCACTTGCCAGAAGCCCTCCTGTGAGACAGAGCAGGGACTGTTGAGTTGGGGTGTGCCAGAAACACTACCTCTGCCTATGGAGAGACAGACCAGAAGTGACAGCTGGGAGGAGAACTCAAGAAGGCTGGGAGGCACTGGGGTCACAGCAGGGAGAGTGCTTGTAGGGCAGCCTGATGAGGAGAGGGAGACAGTCTAAGGCCTGCCTCCTTGAGAGGTCTGGGATGCCGTGTGCGGAGGCAACTCTGGGACAGTTGTGGGGAGAAGCCATCTTCCTGTGCCCAGTCGGCTGCTTTAGCGGTCTCCAGGCCAGTTGGCACCGTCGTTCTGCTGGAATTCAGGAGCGGAGCGACACCTTATGCCATCGTATGTAAAAAGGTCCAGGTTCAGAGACTCTGTGGGAGCCATGGGGAGCAGGGGTCAGCATGTTGACCCTGGGCGACTTGGTAGCTACAGGTATGGGGTCGAGGGACACCTGGACCCGAGCAGTGCCTGGTGGAATTCTGCCTGGAGCGCACCTTCCTGTGATTTATTTCCCACCAGCCTGGGCAACTTGGCGAGAGCTCATCTCCATAATTAATCAAAAAATTCGCCAGGTATGGTGGCGCATGCCTATGGTTCCAGTTACTGGAAGGCTGAGGCAGAAGGATTGCCTGAGCCCATCATGTCGAGGCTGCGGTGGCCGTGAGTGTGCCACTGCACTCCAGCCTGGGGAACAGAGTGAGACACTAATTAAAAAAAAAAATCTGGAGTGATTTTACAGATTCAGATTCAGCGCTGTTGAATAATGAATGACGTGTTGGGTTAGGGTGTATAAGGACATCTGTTGGGGTAGGGTGTGTGGGTGGGGCAGGGGCCCCATGTTCTCCATATTTTTTTAAGTCTCACTCTGTCACCCAGACTGGCATTGCAGTGGCATGCTCACAGCCACCACAGCCTCGCCCTACTTGGCTCAGGCAATCCTCCCGTCTCAACCTTTCAAGTAGCTGGAACCACAGGCATGCACCACTACACCCAGCTAATTTTTTGATTTATTGTAGAGAAGAGGTCTCAGTAACCTGCCCAGGCTGGTCTCGAGCACCTGGGCTCAGACAATCCTCTCGCCTATGCCTCCCAGAGGACTGGGATTGCCAGGCATGAGCCATTGCGCCTGGCAGTATATATTTTTTCAAAGTATATATATATATTTTTTTTTTTTTTGAGTTGGAGTCTCACTCTGTTACCTAGACTGGAGTGCAGTGGCTGC